TCAACTAAACATGGGCATAGTAACAATATTTTTATACTACATTTATCCATTTTAAATACACTAACCTCACTCCTTTGTAACAACTAAGACAAAAATGTAATTAATTCAGAAAATCTTGTCAGGGCCCCACCTTGATGTTTCGGGACCCCACTTTGGGTCCCGACCCCAACTTTGGGAAACACTGCTCTAGAAGACAAACTCCACAGGAAATTAACCTTTTTTTAAAACTCTTTTCACCAATCATTTTCAGTTTACCGTAATTATGACCAGTTTCCCAGTTCCTGCCAATGAATATCTTTTCCACAACATGACCACCTCTATGCGTCATTGTGTAATGGATGATTGGTTTGCTTCAGAAACTTTATTTTTACTCATGTTGAAAGAGTCTGCCTTTTGGCAAATTAATTCCCAACAGTTTGTATTATTGTCTTTCCTTTTAAGCAGCATAATTTTTCCTGCCACTCTTCCATGAAGCCCAGCTCTGTGCAGCCTGCAGTGATCCTATGATCAGAGCCTCCTGTCTCTGCAGAAGAGCTGCTGATCGAGCTCCATCAAATGTATCTTTGTCCTCCTGGATAATGCCCTTCTTACCTGGTCTGTGAGTTTTGACAGACGACCCTTTGTTGGCAGGTTTGCTGTGGTGGCATGTTGTTTTTTTAAGGATATATAAACCAGACCATATTTGTACTTCTCTGGAATGTTGTCTCTGACATGTGGAGATTTCCTTGGTCTTCATGCTTGGTGGTAGCCCAAACTACTAATATGTGTTGCACAGGTGTTAATTCTGGGGACTATCGAGGCAGGTGTACAGTACATGAGACTGTTTGATGCTTAGATTGCCCACAAGTGGATCATATTTAACAAATTATGTAGCCCCATAGCAAAGAGAGGTGAATGCATGCAAAAACCTTTTTCTTTTTTAGAGATATTTAAGAACACACCCACCCCCACATTTTGCTTCATTGTTTCAATATAATAAAGCACTTTTGCAAACCATTGTATGCCACTCTGATTTAGTGATTACTAAATCAGAGTGGCATACAATGGTTTGCCTAATAAGCTGTTTAACACGCTTATTTTTCATTTGTTTGACAATAATGAGAAGAATGCTTCGAAATTTCAAGAGAAATTCATGACCACAAGGTGTTTTACCTTTTTTTAAAAACATCCCAAAAATGTCGCTCACTCGTATTCGACTCATGTTTGCTTTCTTGGTTTACATGGTTGCAAAACATTTAAATATGAAAGTTGTTTTATGATCACTGACACTGCAACAAAAGCTTAGACATCAGGACTCCACCTATCGAGGTATTGCATTAGGGTTTGTGAAGCTGACTGTAGTTAAATAAAATTGAAATAAAAAAAGCATTAAAAAACATATCAAATTATTTTAAGTGGTATGCCTGAACAAAAACGTGATGCTCTGGCAAAATGTCTCTAGACTGACTCTATCCTAACAGGAGTCATGTTTGGGTTTTTGTTTCACTGGCAGACACTTTCTTTGTTAAAATTATTGATCAGTTTTTTCATCTAGCGTTGATCAGATAAGCCAACTAGGTGCAAGAGGAATTTTTGCTTCTGAACAATGCAGTTCACTTCAACTCACAACAGACGTTATCTCAGAGCACTGTACTAAAACATTCACATATAAAAGGCCTTTCAGTAAAAGTCTATTGTAAAGTAAATAGATTGTGCTAAATCTTCACTTCGTTGCGTTCTTTCATCCTGAGCAGCATACTGGTGACAGTGGAAAGGAAAAACTCCCTTTTAACAGGAAGAAACCTCCAGTAGAACCGAACTCAGGATGGGCAGATATCTGCGCCTCGGCTGGGGTCAGAGAGGACAGGAAATTGTTACAGACACAGAATGACTGGTCCAGGTGGTTTCTTTGTGAAGACAGAAAAACACCAACCAGAAATAACACCAGAAAATAACCAACAAACACTCTCATTGTTCTGCTTTCAGGATGTGGCCTGCGGCTTCTTGATCTCCGCCGTCATCATTCTGGTCACCTACCCTTTTTGGGAATCGTTCGACAGATTTCAGCTAACCAACCCCTTCTCCCCCGTTGTGGCTCTGTCATTACTCCTCTTCCTCAGCTACACATACCCAGAACTGGACCATTACACCACCACAAGAGGAGACACCACCACCATACTGGGTGTGTGCGCTGGCTGCTCAGTGGGATACTGGGTGAGCGAGCAGCTTGGGCAGACATTCGAGCCCCAGGGGTTACCTGTACCCTTTCCCACACTGACCGCCCCGTCTGTGGCACTGGGGGTAGGACGCTTCCTGCTTGGAGTTGTGGCACTGGTGGGAACTAGGCAAATTGTGAAAACGCTGAGTCTGCAAATGTTATACGCTTGGTACAGGGTTCCAAAAACTGATAAGAATGCCAGGAGGCGGAAGGAGATTGAAGTGCCTTCAAAGTTTGCCACATATACAGCTGTTGGACTTGTCAACTCTATTTTAGTCAACAGATTCTTTGCTTTCATTGGATTGCTATGACGTCTAGCATTCCGTAATTCTCATATTTATTTTATGCTGCATAAAATGATCTATTTTTAAAAAGTATTGAAAACACTTAAGTGTATAAATTCTCAGTGGGAATGATTCACCATGTGTGACTGATCTACAACTGAGCAGAAAAACAAAAATACTGTGGTTACATGAGAATAAAGTTTATGCTGTGTTATGAAGTTTTGTCTTCGTGTCCTGTTGTAATGATAGAACTTGACTTTGACAAGCTTGCCAAAAAAAATCAGCAAACCAGATCAACTTTGTTCAACACCAACTTCTATCCCCCTAAATTATCCATCAGCATGACAGATCACCTGTCAGACTTTATTTACAAGACTGCTTGTTTTCCGTGCAGCTCTGGCAGTCCACTGGTTGCAACACTTTCCCCTTTGATCTGCCAATAATTTGTCAACAGGTTCGACGTAAATACTGTGTACTTTTACTCAAAAAAATGCACTTCAAAAAAGCTTCAAAGCCTTTAAAGTTACAGTAGCTTTATTAGAGGTCTTGGACTTGTAACAAGGACAAGAGTATTTCAAATCAAACACCTGAGTGTTTTTTTTATTTTGCTAACAAGATGGTGTGAAAAGCTACATTATTATATTTTAGACATTTCCCAACTCCAGCCAAGACCACAAAACCATTAAATCGTTCCGTCTCTTTGTTCCGTCTAGATCAGATCTTATTAAAAGCAGCCACATCAACAGATTGAACATATTCCTCGAAGGTGGTGATGGCTTCCTCCAGCAGATCTGTGCCCACTTTATCATCCTCCACCACGCAGCCTATCTGCAGTTTCCTGATGCCGTAGCCCACTGGCACCAGCTTGGACTGCCCCCACAGCAGCCCATCCATGCTAATGCTGCGGACACACTCCTCCATCCTTGCCATGTCTGTCTCGTCGTCCCAGGGCTTGACGTCGAGCAGGATGGAGGACTTGGCAACGAGCGCTGGCTTCTTGGACTTCTTGGAGGCATATTCGGCAAGGCGCTGCTCCCTTATTCTGGCCGCCTCGGAGCTCTCGGCCTCGTCGTCGGAACCGAAAAGGTCAATGTCACTATCGGCGGTGGCATTTGTCGAGGCAGAGGGAATGGGTGGAAGTACAAACTGACTTTTGGCTGGTGGGAGATGTGCTCGCTCCAATTGGAAGGACTTGATGTGATTGTACCAGCGCTGGAGGTGGCAGAAAGATTGCGAGGGAGGAGAAGGGATGGCGTCAAACATGGCAGTGTCAGCTTGGGATGCCACAAAACCTTCAATGTAGCTTTTGTTGGCCAGGAAATCATTCAGAGCTTTGAGGCCTCCCTGAGTGTTCATGTCACCAAAGGTAGTTTTAGTGGAAAGTGGGTGGTGTGGGGCCACCTGCCGGGATTCACCATGTGTTTGGAACTGGTGCTTGATGGTTTCCTGCATGGGAACGTCATGTGTGAGGAGGGTTTCTGCAGTGAGGCCACTGAAAGAATCAAATTAACAGGTAATAAGTGAGTTTCATTAGGAGGCACAAACAAAACCTTAAGCCACAAAAATTAGGAGCAGGCAGGCATGCACCCCCTTCCCCCATACAGACACACAGACAGAGAGTTCCTGCTTATTTTTTAATGATTCTGCCTTCAGTAGAACAATCAAGTTACTTCATATAAAAAACAGTTCTATTAACATGATGGTGCTTCAGATTTTTCATGCAGTGGCTTATGGTGATCATTTTCAGCACAAACCAGCCACAAACCAACTTAAACATGTTTTATTTTTAGTATGTATTTTTATGTAATTTTTTGCTGTGTGAGTTTGTAACAGAAGTTTAGGAAGACTTAAAAAAAAAATCACAGGAATGGCTCGAGGTCAATCTCCAGGGCAGAGCAGGGCATGGTCAGCTCAAAGCGGTTTATGACATCTGGGTGAAGGACTCCAAGATGGCCTACGCTCTTCCCTCGCACAAAGATCTCAGCACACCGACCGGGGAAAAAGATGGAATCTGGAAGAAAACAAAAATGAGTGTTTAGGAATGATTATATTCAACTAATATTAAGAGCTCTATGCAAAGTCTTGGTGAGGGAGGACTTCAGAGTGCAGTGGGCTCCTTATTAAATGTGATAGTTGTAGATAGCTTTGAGCCTCCACAAGTCTTCCATTGCAAAGTAGAGATGAGGGTTATAATCTCTTTTGATGTAGACATGAATAAGTCAAAACTGATTATTTACTGTCAATACATGTTGAGTAATACAAAAGACAAACCTAATGTGAGGAGGTGCAGTGTCTGAACTATTTATGTGAAACGGAGGACGAGGCTGACCGAGACATGAAACGGCACCTTCTGCGTATAAAGCCAATGTTTCCAAGTATCTTGGCTTCCAAGAAGTTAAAGGGCAAAAATGACACTGACGAGAGCTACACTATATGCAAGTTGCAAACATTTCTACCCAGAGAAAGACCGAAAACATCCAGTGGTAGCTACTAGTTTCCACTGCTAACAAGAGAAGAATTGATTGAGTGATGTCGTTCCTAACCAACCCAGAAAAGATGAAGTTACAAAGTCCATTGCAACTTTACTTGCAAAAAAAATTGGGTTTGCATTCTGTGGGTGAGAGCCAGGACTTGTGATATATTTCATAGTTTGGAGCAATGATTAAAAAAAAACTTTAAAAAAATCTATGTTGAAAATATGCTAACACAGCCATTCTTGGAGAACAAAAACAAAGTTGTGGAAACACTTAAGAAAGCCACCTCTGCAAGCATTGTCTCTGAGCAGACGCATTGAACCAGAGCTCCCAACTCGGTCAGCTAAATCCCCTTTGCCAGATCTGAATTAACCCACTAAGACTGACTATTTTATGATGAAAAGGGGAAAAGCATCAAAACGTAACGGGAAATCAAAACAGACAGAAGAAATGGGCGAGAGAACTTCTTTACTGGACGAAAGCGAATCAGACCAGCACATGCCTATGGAACGGCTTCAAGCTAGCATCGGAGCTATCCACAAAGGGATCGTAGCTATCCGTAAAGACATGAAGGAAGAGCTGTGCTGCTTTCGTGATGACTTCACCACCGACATGAAGAGAGATTTAAGAAATTTTCAAGAGGAGATTAATGGAAAACTAAATGAAGTTTTGTCGGACATAAAAGAGAATCAAAAGAGAACGGAGGAGTCTTTACAACGTGTGGCAGAAATGGAGGAGTGGACCGCAGCGGCGAAAGAGGTGCTGTCTCAAACTATTAACAACCAAGATAAAATTCAAGCCAAACTGACTGATCTAGAAGCACGCTCATGAAGAAATAATATCCGTGTGTACGGGATTCCGGAAGATACAGAGGGAGATAATCTGCTGGAATTTATGGACGGTTTCATTAAGGCTGAGCTGTAACTCCAAGATATCGACCTGGCTATACAACACTGCCACCGGGCTTTGGGTCCCAAACTACCGCAGAATGCGAGCCCCCGCTCCGTGGTGATCTCCTTTCTGGGATTCAGAACCAGGGATTTGGTGCTTCGCAGCGCGTGGAAGAAAAGAGAAATTCGCCTCAACCAGCAGCGGGTTTATTTCGATCAGGACTATCCGGCAGAGACTCAAAAGAGGAGGAAAGCTTTTGCCCCTATCAGAAAACTTCTGAAAGAAAAAGGTCTCCGCTTCCAAACCCCACCACCGTCTAAGCTCCATGTGTTTTTTGACGGTGGCCCGATCACGTATAGCACTGTGGCGGACACCATGAAGGATCTGCAGAAGAGGGGTCTCGCGCCTGACTGCACTACTAGCAATGATAGTTCCCACACGGCAGCGCAGATGGAGAAGTTGGACAGACTGTCCTGGGTGACGAAGGAGGCCAAACGAAGTAACCCTGACGCACATGGAGAGAGCACGGAAAAAACTCAGTGGATTTCGTCATGAGGCTGGAGACGCTGCTGCTTCTCCAAACGCGCCTCTCATTTAAACTCATGCGGTAAGATAAACAATCACAGTGATCTGATCCAGCGTGTGGACTAAGAACTGAACATTTTCGTATAGAGACACTGTGTCAGACACCATTATAACAACCCTTAAGTTAACCTTCGCTAATGTTAATAAGAAACGTTACTGATTTAAAAGTAGATAATACTTGACTGTTGTTTGGGAGCCGGTTTAAAGGCTCTGATTGTGCACTGAGCTTGCACTCGTACCGAGCTAGGTCAGTTAGCACTGGAGAGACTCCCCAAGAGAAGAGCCTCGGAAGTCGTTCCTTTTGTACTTTTTCAAGTTCCAGGTTCTACGTTTTTGAGTTTTGTAAATGTTTTATTGTTAAGGTCACCTTGGATGTGTAAGTTAGAGGGACTTTTTCATTTAAAGATTTATGTTCCAACAACCCCCCGTGATTATCTTTCAGCTGGCAACAAGTTATTTAACCCCAACTTGTGCTTCTCGTTTCTTAAACAACCATGTGGAAAGACACATCCCGTGGTCGGGGAAAAGATGTCAGTCTGGTTGAGATTGGCATGCATCAAGCAGAGAAAACATCTGAGTAGATTGAAGAAACGAACTGTTCAACACATTATTAAAAACTGGAAGGATAGTGGGGACCCATCGTCTTGGAGGATGCTCCTATCATGCCTAGTGCCTACTGTAGAAGCCTATAAGGGTAGTGCTGTGATCTACAGGTGCTGCAGTTGGTCAGGTCTAGGAAGCTTATCCAAACAACGCCACAGCAAATGTGTGCCGTAATCAAAGCTAAAGGCGGTCCAAGAAAATATTAGTATGACTTTTTTTTGGCCAGGAAGTATTTTATATGTACAAATATAAAAATTTCACAGGTCGTGAAAAGATCATCGAAACAACTTAGTGTAGATGTGATAAGGCTCTGCCGCTTTATACAGTTTTAGACAACTTATGGTCACTTGTATTTTATGACTAAATTACTCATATAGGTTAAATGATCTCATCGTTAGCATTAGTTTACTAACGTCCAAAAGAGACTCCTAGTAACTTTTTTTTATTCCATCTTCAGCGTAAACATCTTCAGTGTTGGACAAAATTGTTGTAAGTTGGCATAAGCTGTCTAAAAAGTGACAGAGCCTACACAATGTGGCGATAGTGTTGTGCCAGTGTACAATGATCTAGTTTGTATTTGCATCCTGATGTAGATGTCACGGCAGGACAGGACAGGACAGGACAGGACCTGTGGTGGGATTATAGATGCATGTGGTAGTCCCAGTGTGTGAAATGTTGCTGGTGTATAGAGAATGGTTGGGGAACAGGAACAGGTCTCAGGGTAAGAAAACAGCAGCAAAAACACAGTTTGGTGAATACTAAGATCATAATAAAATGATTGCCTTCACACTCAAGGAGGTTTTTCAAATTATCTGCAATCCAGCCACATTCTAGCAGGCTGTGAAGTGTCCATCAGGGTCCTATGCCAGTGTGAAGGGGGCCTAAGACTTCTGTCATTTTTCCCCTAACAACCCAGAACAGAACATTCTTTTATGCTCTAAAAAAATGTATAAAAGCATAAAATCCACTTATGAAGCACAGCAACAAACTGAATTTTACCACTGTTACTATTTAGCACTCCATCTGTGCTAGCTGTTTGTTCCTGGGATTCTGCCACTTCAAATATGTGCAATTTGTCTCCGTGAGATTTATTTACACTTCACTGCTGAAGCATTGCTTTATCTTTTAAGCGTCTGAGGACTCGCTTGGTGCTTCTTGTGTATCAGAGATCATGAGTTAATCATGGTGTGTGGGTGAAGCTGCACTGCTTTCTTCTTTCTTGATCACCATTTGTTCCACCCCCGTTCACGATCAATGATCACTTTTGCATCTGTTCTTCTGAACATATTCAAAACCTAAAACAGACACCCCTTCTCATGCAACTAATGATAACCACTCCAAAGAAAATTTTTAATTTTGAGTAGGAAACAAGGTTTTGATGAAATTGTTATGATCTGTAGTAGTTGTCATATGCAGAAAAATTAAAAACTGTGGTGACGTATGTGAAAGTCTCGAGTATTCTTTTTTTTTTTGCTCAATCACATTTTACTATTTGATAAAAATCTAAAGATGCTGTAAACATAAAGCTGGGAGTAAAGGTTCTAGTTCAAGTATTTTCTGGTGATTGCAGTAAAAAATTCCATAAAAAGTTTGAATTCCACCCCCCTGGACCAACTTGAAAGAAAAAAATATAGAACAGAGAAAACAAAGCCCTAAAACTGTTGTGCAACCAAATCACAAAGCCTAAATGAAATCAAAAGCCTTCATGACTAGATTAAGTCTCTTATTATAGTCAGTCAATTGCTCAATTTGTTCACAATCATCCAAACAGACTGAAAGACCAGCTTGTCAACAGATAAGATACAAGGATTACTATGGCAACACACACACCAGCATGGCCTGTTCCCATAATGCCCTGCTTCGTCCCACGCTGACTTGTTAATGGGTTCATAGCTCACTGCCTGGACGTTTGCTCATCACGGTGGCTGAATAATTGCAGCTGGGAAATTCTCCCGGTCACTTCGGCTGCTCTGTGTCTGTTCAGAATATCAAATCGGTGATGTGTGGCTGCATCGGTTCATGCGTCATCCGCTTGTACTAAGAGCTGGATGCCATGGCAACAATATAAATAGCTCCTGGAATATCCTAAATAACCAATCACTCAATGAAAAGCCTCCACTTTAGCTTGGCAATTTTCCACCCTCTCTCCTCTAACTTTTAGCAGAGCATCACCATATTTATATTTATAAATTGTTTTTTTTAAATTTTGCTATTTATTATTTACTATTTTTAATTGTTTAGGGGTTCTCTAACGTTTTGGGTATGGGGACCCCTTACAAGGGTAAAAAATGTACTCCCGGTTGGGAATCATTGTGTTAGAGTACCAAAGCAAAGGGCACCACGTTCTACACAGGTTCCACAAAGGTTTAGCACATCTATATTGTTTATTTTCAACAGTGCCTGTTTCTCAGGATCAAATTGTTTTAATTTATCAATTCTGTATTTTAGGACTTACTTT